GGGTGGGGGGGCTACGCTGGCAAGCGAAGCCCATCCAGGTGCCGGGACGCGGAAAGCAGGCAGCACCACCAGCCCGCCGCCTTCAAAAATAAAAAATAAAACAAAAAGAGGGGGGGTGGGGGGAAAAGCCAGACCAGGCTGAAGAGTTAACGGGCAATTCGGACCGTCACGAGTCCGTCCTTCAGCCCGACGTCTCGAGGAGCGTCCCCACAGCGAGGCCGAGCTCACCGGGGAGGTGCCAGGCGGGAGCGCAGCCCTTCGAGAGCCTCCAAAAATGTCTCGTGAGGGCCGAGCCTCCCAAGGTTTAAGCCTTTCTAAGCCCAACACGAACAACTGCGCCGGCAGCTGCTGCCGCGCGCACAAAGGCGCGCGCTGTAGTGCCGAGGGGCAGAGATTGCCAGGGCCAGCGCCGACCGCCTCCTGCAAAACACCCCGTCCCCACGTCTGCAGGTGGCAGGGGAGGCGAAGCGGCGAAGGAGGAGCTAGTTTTCAAGAGATGCTCTGTTTTCGCTAACCTGTGCCTCTGCGCAGCGGCCAGCTGCTTCTCAACCGGGAAGGAGAACGTGGCAGGAAAATGCAAGCGATCCCCCGGGCCTGCCGACTACCGGCGGTAACCGGAGACCGGCAAGCTCCGCTTAGCACGGTTCGAGCGCAGCAAAACGAGAGGCGCTTCTTTTCAGGTGACGCTTTGTAGTCCGGGGGCGTATCTGGCGCTCAGAAGCGAGCGTGCGCGGTTGGAACGGCTCAAGGTGACCTTGCAGGCCGAGAGCAACGTCTCCAGCGAGGAGAACGGCGCACGTGCCGCATAGCTTTGTCACCACCGTTTGGGTCGCTAAATTTCAGCTACCTACTGCTGCCTTAAAAGGGACATTTAAAAGGCTCTAGTTTGAGACTACCTCTGCCACCCGAGGCGCGAGAGAACGTACGCGAACGCCGGGGTGACGTTTACGGCCAGCACGACCCACCGTGGCTTCGTTCTCTCCCAATTAGGTTTGTATTCCGGCTCTTTTCCTTACCCGAGTCTCTCCTTGCTCTCCTCCGGCGTGAGCTGATCAAAGGTTTTGGCCTCATCGGCGCCGAGGAAAGCGTCGTGGTCGTAGTCGAAGTTCTGCGCGTCGTCGTGGACCTTGTCGCTGAGCTGCGGGTCGTGGTGAACCCGGTCCTTCTTCTCGGTGGGTTTGCTGGAGATGCAGAGCATGGAGAGAGACAGGCACAGGAGGAGCTGAGGGATGGTCATGGTGGTTCGGACGCACCTACGGGACAGCCGGAGAAGGGGAAATTTAGGAGCTGGCGTGGCGACAGGGACGCCGGAGCGGCACGCCGCCGGTTCCGGGGTGACAAACCAGAACCCCAGACGCCAAAACGGGGAGAGCGGATGAATTAATACAGGTTATCTGGGCAAAGCCATCTCCGAGCCCCGCGGCGCTTGCAGGAAAGCTCTTATTAACACGTGCCCCGAGCAGCTCCCCGCTCCCCAACCCCTCACGCGAGCCCCTCCGCACGGCAGAGAGAAACAACCGCGTTCGCTGGAAGGAGAGCCTGCTCGGTGAGGAATGCGAAGGACGCGCGGCAAACGTGCGCGGCAGATGGCCCGTTCCGCGGCCCCTGCCAAGCCGGTCGCCCTCTGCTCTCACATCCTCCCGCCCAATTCCCTCCCCGTGGGGCTCGGTCTCCCCAAAAAACCCTCCTTCCAAGCGAGGTATGCGGCTTCGGAAGCTCCTCCAGGACTTCCGATACCCTGGGTCGGAGCGATGCGGACGAAAGCCTCGCCCGCACACGTTTCACCCTTAACTCAAGCCCCACCGGACTCGCCGCACCCATCTGGAACCCGGTTCCAGGTGCCGGGTGGGCGACAGACGCACACGACGACAGAGACGTTCAGGACGCGGCGATTTGGTCAGATCAGTCAACTGGCTGTTGGCCGGGCCCAGAGAGTTGTGGTGAATGGAGTTCAATCCAGTTGGCGGCCGGTC